CAATTAGAAAAAAACAGTTTGTAGAAAGCAGCTCATTCCAACAGCTGGTTTTTCCAGTGGAGAAATAGTCGTTCAACTGTACATTACTTTAAATCTGTACTCATGTCTGACTCCACTACTTAAGGTCTAGTGCAGCTAAAGGCCTTCAGAAGTCACCTCATTGGAAAATTGAGTCTACCTGTCCACACCATAGCTGTTACTGTAAGTGAAAAGGGCTGTTAAATAACATTAGAGACAAACAGAAGCATGCTTAAATGTACCAGTCAAAGCCTCAAACTAAATCCAAATGAGAATCTACTACAAGAAACTTAAAAGTTGACATTTCCAGCTGCTCTCCTTCCAGTATGACCAAGCTTAAGGTGTTTCCCCGAAACCTGTCAACAATATCCACCTCTAGATTTGCAAAGCTGGAACCAACATCCTAAAAGCTACTTGAACCTGTAAGAGAAATTTCAAAATGCTCAACACTGCAAGGAATTTGGTTCCCAAAACAGCTTTTATATGTGACTTTTTCTTTTAAATATGCAAATACAGGCACTAAAATGAGTAGTTGTTGTTACTAATGTGACAAATGGGTCACAATAATGGTTTTGCGAGTTCAACATGAGCAGATTATTGTCAAGATTTAAATGGCAGGTATGCAAGTCTTGCTTTGTTTGAGAAGACTGAGGGAGGAGCCACAGTGTTAGTAATGTACTGAGGCAGAATATGCTTTATAGCCAGCGGTGTAGGATATGGGTGTGTACAAGAAAACCAGCGTGCTGAAACACAGTAGTCTGAAAGACAGTGCTTCTGTCAGCTTATTCTGCAATCTCTTTCTTTAAGCGCAAACCAATATGACCAGCTGAATGAGAACAAAAAAAGTGGGTCTATTCAGAAAGTAATCACTGGAGGAACATTTAAATAGGAGGAATGGAAACACTGATCGCATCGCATCGTTTTCATTACTTTTTATCACAGCAGATAGCCAAAGTGCTTGGAAATGCCACACAGCCATTGTATTCTCCTCGGTCATATCAGGATTCGTCATATCATATTTACAGTGACTCGGTCTATGCACTTATTCTTTGTCTGGCTTTGGAAATCAGGGCTGCTTCTCCAGAAAAGGAGTGTGACAAATTTATCTAACAAACACTAAAACGCCTCACTAGCCAGAGGAGTTCAACAAACGTTGATGTCATTACAGATTAACTGGATTTAGACACCATCATCTCTCCAATTCAACATATAATGTGGTGTTTAATTAGTTTTGGGGAAAGAGTGTGGATTCATTTGGTCATGTTTGGCAATTTAGAGCCTCTGAAATGATAATGATAAGCTTTTGAGTAGTATCTTAGCTGTACCAGTTTAAGAAATGACAAACTGTACTGTAAGTAACAAACAATGGATTTTAGGGATTCTTTGGGTTTGATCAAAACAAAATTCTGATTAAGAAATATGACTAGTTTAAAAAAATACTTTTCAAATCATACTGAGTCATGCAAAGACTGGAATAATTGTCTATTTACTTTAAAGTAGCTTAAATTGAATAGATGAAGGACATCTGGGAACAGAAGGTCGGGTTAAATATAATGAACATAATAAAGACCATTCCACTTTAGATCAGGCTGTGGGTTTAGCTTAGACTTAGACTCAACTTTATTTATCCCTTGGGATTACTCCTTCAGGGAACAGTTTCTGATTGAATGTGAATCTTTATCCCAATTTAAATTCTTTAGAATTTTCTGGTATATTTTCTTTTCACACTTCTTTGCGTCTCTTTAACTCTAAACAGCTTCATGTCAACTCTGAGTAGCTGATCGGTTCCTCTAAAGCAGCATCTCCTTTAGCATGATGTTGCCACAATTGCTGTGTGTTCTTAGGATGTGGAGTCAAAATACAAAACGATTTAAATGTACACCTTGATGTTCATATTAGGTCTCACCTGACCAGAGATCATACTTCCCCATATTACAGTAACTGGCTTGTAGCACACTGCAGGATTGTTTTTGGCCTCCATTTAACATTTTCTCGCTTTATTTTTTCCAGTTATATGGGGACTAATCATCTAATCATTTAATCATTGCCCTGTTGAGATTTTTCCCCACCTAAGTCATAATCATAGCAGCTTCTGGAGACCTACCATGTGATTATTGCTTGTTTACAGTATCTTATTTTAGTTATTTTGTTTTGTGGATAAAATCCAATGACTTTTATAGTCATACCCTTTAAAAAAAATAAAAAGAAAGAAACTCCAAAGGGGTAAAGTACTTTTACAGGCAAGTGTAGTTCCACTTAGTAATTACGTCTAAGTTAATGGTTTAAAAAAAAAAAGAAATTTAAATAAACGAGAAAACTACAATCCACGAGACAGTCTACAACTCACTGAACAATACCATCATCTAATCAAGTTAGTGAGACAGAAGCATTTTACTCTGTCAGTGTGATGAAGAAGAAAATGTTTCTTTTGGACTCCAAAGTGCTTCCATCCCATGTAGCTGCAGTTTTAAATCTAAGCTGTGAATGCCGCCTTATTAAAGCACTGAAGAGCTAAAAACAGGCGCTGCTTAATTAGACCACTGAATTAATAGGATTTTAGACCATCTTTCTGCTCTTTGTTGGGCTGCTCAAATTGAAATTACTAATTCTTTAGAAGCAGGTGAGTAATTAGCTTCAGACTGAAAGAATCCTCACAAACTTAACAGAATGAAGGAAGAGAGAAGATGATGGATTGTGTTCATCTCTTTGTCTGTGAGTCTATGTATGGCAGTAGGGGTTAGACAAAAGTAGAGAAAGGAGCTTTATTCACTTCACACTGTCCTGTGAGGAAGGCTAAGTGTGATAGCACAACCATGTTGGGAGAGCCAGGAGATTTTGGGAACATGTAGTTTGGGTGCTGCTCAGCGCAAGGATGGGGCATGCCTCTGGGCTCAATTTTCTCACAATTTTCTACCTCTTCTAGACTCTAAAAAAATAAAAAACAAACTCAGTTTAAACTACTGGTGATTAGATAGTCTGCTGCAATGTTTGCAGAGAAATTAAAGATTTATATAAATGTATGAAGTTTTTTTTTTTACATAATGGTGAGACGTATACCTTTATTTCAAAGTCATTAATATCCCTTATGGAAATATTTTATAGTGTTAAAATCAAACCACTTTCTGCATTTAAGTGTATATTCATTACAAAATTAATTGCTTTTCTTATTGTTTCCTGTACACAGAAAATCATTCTGAAATCTGATAGTGAGGCTTTCACCCTAACATAGGTTTTATTACAGTCCTAACAATTCTTCCCCCTACATTCATCTTGGGCAGGGCAGTTTGTTTAGCTAAGTTAGCAACCAGTTGCTTTCTATTGTTTTCAAATTTCCACTGATTTCCAGAATGCTTCATTTAGCTGTCAAGAACAGAAATCATTTAAACAGTAAACTGATAACAGCACATTTTGTTAGAGTGAGATCAGCTGCTGCAAACAGAGTGCTCTGAGTAAAGGGATTTATTCTATTGCCAAGTTTTTACACGTAAAAATCAACAACTTCTCAAAAGACAAATAAGACATATATCTGTAATCATTCTGACATTTTAGAATTGAATCAGGTATGCAATAGGTGCAAACACAACAAAACCTCTTTTTAAGGACGTAATGAAAATGCATTTTTTACAATAAAAACCTAAAAAAGATTGACTCTGCAAGCTTCAAAAATCTTATGTATAGCCCAGGTTTGATACATTGAAGTATTTAACATTTCAATAAAACTATTATGAAATATTGTCCAAACCAGTGCTCCTTAGCTTTGCACAATACAAAGTTTTAAGGCAAATGATAATGGCAGCATTTTACTGTCTAATAGTTAGCCAGTCATTGCATGTTCAAGTTGCCATTTTTTATCTATTGTAGTGATTCTAAATTTTAAATCACCTCAACAATTTAAAAGGGACAGAGAGGTGGTTGTGGTGGGCCGCCTTGACGTCTTCATTAGTCAACTTTGTAAACATAACAGGACAACTAAAAAAAAACTAAAATAAAATGTAACCCAGATACAGCAGGATGTAAAAGGCATCATTTGAATTATTATGATAACAGTCACTGGACAAAAACTACTATCAAAACAGCTAATGTGACCTAATAGCTCATTTTCTTCTATTACTTTTCACTTTAAAAACCACAAGGGCCACTTATTTCACACTTCCTGGATTTATTTTTGGTTGAATGTTCATTCAGAGAACCATATATTCTAACATTGCAAACAAATATGTCCATCCCTTGTTGCATGAACAAATTTTGCTGTTAGCTGATATACAGCTAATTTTTAAGTGAGAAAAATCCCTTTTTTTGTGTTAAACAACAAGTACTTAAATTTTTGACAGGGCTTTTTGCTCTGAAGTAGTTGCAGGGATGGCATATGTTACGACAGCTGGGAAAGGATTAACTGAGGACACAGCAAAATGTCTGAGAATGTATGATACAAATTCCATGACTGTGTCAGCCTGAAGTGCACAAGTCTGGACATATTTGGACAGGCTATTTTAAATTTACCTGTCAGACTTACTATTATATATGACAAGAACTCTGAGATTTGTATTCTTTCTGTCTTTTCTGTTTTGAAATTGGAAAATATCTGTGGATCAGGCGTTATATGCTTCAAAGAGTTTTCCACTTATAATGTGTGGAGAGAATCAAAATCCCCAAAAGGGATATATAAGAAAGTAAATATAAGCATTAAAGCATTAAAATGTAAAATATTCCAACCAAATACTGCAGCATTGCCACGTACTCATGCAGTATGCATGCACAAGAGAATAAACAGCATGCAGTGCAATGCGTAAAATGTCCTGCCGGCTGAGTTCAAATGCAAAATAAGAGTTTTTGAACTGTAATTCCCACCGAACACATCAGGGAGTGTAACTTCAATGAGACCAACCGCAAAGGCAGTCGCCTGCAAGAGCACAGCTGACAAACACGGGTAAACATGGAGAAGAAGACTAGGCAGGTGTCAGAAACGAACGCTGCACACACACCTGATGCTAGTCATGCTTCCTGTCTCAGAGCCGAGTTTGCATCTCTCCAGCTGACTGGCAACAATCTGTCGTTCGGCTTCCAGCTCCCTGGTCAGACGTTCGAACTGCAGCTCCTGGAGAGAGGGAAAGAGAGCGTGTCAAAACAGTCGGCCTATTCATTTACTGCCACATTTACGGCTATCCTAAACCTAATCAGTTTGAACCCGTTGTCTGTGACGGGTTTTTAATTGTTGTGAAAGTGATGGTGGCAGTCCGTGGCAGTAAGAGGAGCCAAGCAGTGGTAGGATGTGTATTACACTGCCAAAATACCAATCATTCTGTTTAGGTTAACTTTGTAGGAACCCCACATTTTTTTTTCCACTTAATTAAAAGTGTGACGAATAACCACTAATTACCTGATGCATACAAACAAACCAACATCCAATTAGAGTGTTTGCACCTGCGGCTAAAGATCCTTATTACTGATTATACATAAATGATTTTATCTATTTGGGACAAATGAATAAATAAATAGAAGCCCAAAAAAGAGGTAAAAAGCAACAAAATCTCATTGTCTTATGGATATTTCAAATTGAGCAGAAAACAAATATGATTTCATTCTGGCACACTGCTTTCAGAGGGACATTTTTTGGCAATTTTCTGGTCGGTTTACCATTAAAATACGGTATAATTACTGAAAGACTATGGGTAAATGGTGATGAACTGTTGTGGAAAGCTGATAAAAAAAACATAATTACAAAAAAGATCTAATTACAAACAATGCATTATGTTGACGGTTTCAGTGATTTTCTATATTATCTCATGAAAAATTAAACGTAAATGAAAAAATAACAACTTTGAAAAACCTTGCTTTAAAAATATAAAACAAAGCCTAGATGGGATCTTGCATGTTTGGTTTCAACCTAATGTCAAAGTAAACACATTATCCAACTATGTGAATCAAGGAAGGGGAGATGGGTTTGCTTGCTGCATGACTCAAATATGAGGGGAGTAAAAAATGATAAGCAGGCAAAAATCCAATAGATCTGATAAACTGTGTGAATTTTGTTAGATTCTTNCGAGTACAGATATCTGGAATCCAACCACACTACTCACAAAGCTTAAATTACACAATAATAAAATAATAAAACCTTGCTTTAAAAATATAAAACAAAGCCTAGATGGGATCTTGCATGTTTGGTTTCAACCTAATCTGTCAAAGTAAACACATTATCCAACTATGTGAATCAAGGAAGGGGAGATGGGTTTGCTTGCTGCATGACTCAAATATGAGGGGAGTAAAAAATGATAAGCAGGCAAAAATCCAATAGATCTGATAAACTGTGTGAATTTTGTTAGATTCTTTGGGGAGTGGCGGTCTAGTGGTTATGGCATAGAGCTGGGAATCCTGAGGATCTGAGTTCGAGTCCCACTTCCAGAGACTGCCACTCTGGGTCTCTGAGAAGGACCCTTACAGTACAAGACCCCACACTCTTCCCTGGGCGCCCCACGATGGCAGCATACTGCTCCCCAAGGGGATTGGTTTAGTCAATAGGTAAATTTCTCCAATGTAAGATCAATAAAGTCCAATTATTATTATCAAATGGGTAAGATACGTTGTACTGCATATCAGTTAAAAATGTTCACATATTTTAAACCATAAACCAATGCATTTCACAAACACTTTTGAAGTGGGAGTTTAAAAAATCTGGAGTTGTGATTTTCAACTTAGACAAAACAAAAAAAGAAACCCATTAGTCTAATACCTTTAAGCAAAATACAGTTGATTATCCTCAGAAGTACATACATGAGGTGAGTTCACAACAGGTTTACGATATAAGATAATATCCAAAGCTTTCAACATTTCAATGAAAACTGTTGCATGAGGACTTTGGTAATTTGCTAAGAGCAACTACGGCTTTAGTAGAGGAATCTTTTGATGGGAAAAGCAATTAATTGTACACTCCACAAATCTGACCTTTAGGAATACAAAAAACAAGCTACTGTGATAAGAAAACCATCCAAAATTCTACAGGGAAACAGCTAAGGCTAAACCTCAACTTCCATTAATGTGCATCATCCTGAAAACACATCCTGTATGTTCAATGCTTAGTCAAAGTAAGGCAGGACTCAGGAGAGGCTAAGATAGAAGAATTGAATTGACCTCAGCCCAAGAAGTAAGAAACATTAGATCTAATTGCAATCCTCATCCAATGCATGTAATTTCTGACTAGATCTGCTAATAGGCTGGTGTGATGGAGCCTAAACCCTGATGGTGCTTCAGGCGAACTTAAGGGTCTCCTCTATGTGAAACACTTCTATTCTAAAAGGCTCATTAAGGCCAGAACTTTGCAGATCAATTTGCAAGTTTCTTAGTAAGAATGTCCAATATTCTCTTTGTTACTGTATCTGTGACTGTGTATACGTGTAGATTTGCACATTCCAGCCGCAGTATCTCATTGAAATAGACACATCCATGCGTCTGTACAGCAGATTAAAATGACACAACTGCTGCCACTTCAGGTGAATATTAAAAATCTTTTAAGGAAGGATTTACAAAGAAACACTACCTAGTGATGAGTTTTGGACAACCACATCTGGTCTCCAGTTAGGCACTTTAGTAAACCATGTTTCTGCAACAGTGGAAATGCTTTGTTTGTATTTAATTCTTTTAAATTTGAGGTTGCTCAATAGCACATTGGTTGCATTTGATGTAAGAAATGAGGAATTCGGGTACATTTTGCAGTTGAGAAACACTTAAAAGACGCACGGTTGCATATCACATCACAAAAGATCTGTAACCTTGGTGAAAATATACCCAGTTGATGGTAGCAGAGGTTTCTTTACTTGCATCTAAAACAGCTCAACATGAGAGAAAAAAAAACCCCAGCATGCTTTCCTCTGTGAGATCCAACTTTTTTATGCCTCCAAATCAGTCTTAACTCCCTATTCAACTAAGGAAACATTATCTCTCTCTTTTATTTGATAGTGTGCTTGTTTTGATGAGAGGAAATGCAAACTAGCATGATGCCAACTTGTGCAAATTCAAATTGCGAGCCTTCTTAAAAAGGCACAATGCAAGCCGTCTCTCCCTCCTTTTTTCCCTCCGTCCCCCTCAGATCTCTGCTTCCTTGGGCTCAGAGCTGATGAACAGACACCTGTTACTGAAGAAGGAGAGGGCGGACCATCATGGAATCTCATGTTCTTAGAAACTGCAAATCAAAAAAGGTAAAAAAAAACAGGCCAAATCTACAGACTGGTAATTAAGATGTAAGGACACATACCTTCACATGGACCATAATGTGAATAAACACGGGAATTCAAAAAGGATCCTGCTTTTCCGTGCTCCCATCTGGATAAAATAAAAAAGCAGCAGCAGAGCTTCTTCTCTCTGCTCCAAATCCTCATCTATCCAGTGTCAGGACCCAGCAAGTGATAGAGACAGAAAGAAAGACAGAGACTGAGAGACCACAAGTGTCACTTGAGCTGACTGCAACTCAGCCCCCCCACCTCCTGGTCTCTATGTCTGTGTCTCTTTCTCTCTACTTGCTCAGGGGCCATGAAGCCCACAGACACACACATGCATACAAAAACACACACACACACACACACACACACACACTCACTGTTCAGTGAGCCACAAAGGTCCCCATGGCAACACAGCATTTAGAAGCCCCGTGGCATTATTTATGCAACGTTGCATCACAATAGGGCCCTCCCACCGGCCGGCCCTGCCAAAAGAGCCCGCCGCTCAGGAATCACTCCCAGCCTCTCACACTAGCTCCTTCTCCCTATTTTCCTCTCTGACCAGACCATCTGCACACGCTTTCCCACCACCACCATCACCCTCCCTCCTTCCTTCCTCCGCCTTCTCAGTATCCACCATTGCTGGAAGGAAGGGAGGGAATTTCGAGGAGAGGAGGGAGCAGCCAACGGTGAGGAAAGATGTGTCGAACAGGATGAACGAAGGCCTACACTCTAAACAGCGGACTCATGCCGACACAGAAACATGCTGACACACACACACATGTTTAAACACCCACTCATATAAACTCTGTGCTCGGCAAAAGGAAAATTCTATAAGTTGAAATGAACTGGAGAACTGTAAAGGTTATGGATGGATGGATGGATGGATGGATGGATGGATGGATGGATGGATGGATGGATGGATGGATGGATGGATGGATGGATGGATGGATGGAATCTGACACCTGTTTATATAATAATTCTGTGAAATTGATGGGAATATAAAGTGTTTATTTTCACTGCTGGAATATTCATTTCAATAGACAGTGTCTATTTTTGAACAATGGTGCCTCCGTGTAAAGTATTTATAGATAAAGTAGAAACTGAAACATTAAAAGCACCATAACGATTAGTAAAGCTTGCTAGATTTTTCTATTTCAAAACACAACTGGCCTACCTTGGAACATAGGCTTTTAGGACATAGGAGACCAACATTATTCTAGAATGGACATATTATGCAAATTTGCCTTCAAAAAAGGAGATAATATTGTCTTTATCTAGATTTATTTTATGTTCCAGCTTATGAAATTACTACGGGGACAACGAAAAAACAAGCTGAGCCCACCTGTTTTTAATGGGGTTCGGGTCATGATTGCATAGAGATCAATCCGGACTTTATCATGTAACATCCGAGAAGTAAGTTTTTAAAACCTTTCTCTGTGGGGGCGGGAGATGACTTCTTAAAAAGATGGAGCTTGCTCCCTGAGAGTGGAGACATCTGATTGCCACTAGTGGAAGGATCTCCTGCACACAAATCTGCACTGAGCTTGGCTCCCATAGTTGAAAACTTGATATTCCAGCAAGGCAGTGCAATTCCACACTATTACACTATTACATTTCTATGTCTTTACCAAAAGCTGTGTAGTACCTTCAGAAAAAATTTGTTTAGTTGTTCAGGTGAGCAACCTATGTGCTTCACTTCGGGAGCACATATTTCATTTTCTTTACAAATGTGACACAACTAAAAGGCAACTACTGTAAAGGGAAATCTTTCTTACAACTGCACAAGATTTCTTGACAATGAATTAAAAAATAAACACATACTGTCGTTCCTCTCTATATTAAAAAAAGAGATAACTCCTGCATGCACAGTTAGAAAATGGGAACT